ATAATTAAAAACTTGATTTAATGATTTTTAATTGTTTATTTTTTAAACTAAAAGAACTTGTAAGAAGTAAGTAACTACGCATTATTCACTGCATACTATGTTTTATTATTTGTTTTAATTATTTATCAAACGTTTTATTTTTAATGGCAAAGTTATTGTCAAACGCAATCAAAATAATTAATTTATAAAGTCAAACACTCTCGTTGAAGTTACATTCATTTTTATAATAAATTGACTTTTGAATATACTGCATTCTTTAAAAACCTAAATAAATCAATTGTCCAGTATAATTGGAAAAAAAAAAAATTGCTTAAAATAACCATGTGCATGTGCAGCGGATAAATATTAAAGAAAAAAGAAGAAAAATAGAAAAATTCCCAACAACATAATTGATAACTTAAAAAAAAGTTGGTTCAAAATTTTATTCCTTTCTTATTTATTTATTTTTCTTCTAAATTATATATTTAATAAGTAAAAATTGATGAAAGAAATTAAGAGATAATTATCCTTGAGTTTCTCACCTTTAGAATGCAAAGGCATTAAAAAAAAAGTCGCACAGCCTTGGATTAATTTCAACGGGTATCATTATGATTAAATATTATTAAAATTGCCACGAGGCCTTGTTCTTTAAAGGCCTTAAAAAAATATATATTTTTGATCCAAGGTTGGTCTGACCGTTGGGCACAGCGAAATGCCATAATTGACCCGGAAATTGGGGCTCGGGATAGCCTGGTCAAAATTTGGCCCTTTCTATTAGTCAATTGTTTGTAGTCGACGTGTCGTAAAGTGACTTGTGGGTCGACGATTTTCCGCGACGCTGACTTAGTCGCCTCCTTGGCTGTGCCCTGCCCTACCTAGACTACGACAGTTTAATTCTGGGGGAAGGTTCTGATTACGTGGCTCGCGATTGTGTTTTCAAGAGAAAAAAAGAAAAAAGGAAAATTTTCGTCGCCTGAGAGATTCGAACTCTCGCGGGGAAACCCCATGTACTTAGCAGGCACACGCCTTAACCACTCGGCCAAAGCGACTTTTTGTTCGAAATCTAATTATAATTAATTTTTAATTATTTTATGTGAAATATCATGGTCAGATGTTTTATTTCTCGAAAACATTATGAATATATAGGAAGAGATGTATCCACAAATTCAAATGATTGTCACATCACAAGGGATGTGCCTACTCGGTGATATAGGTGGAGAAATCGGGCGATGTTAAGAACATATGACGTTATCTCTTTTCCACTAGTGCACTATTAATTAATTTTATATTTTTTACTTACTATTTCAAAGATTATTTAAATATTCATTAATTGGATAAAATAAATTTAGTTTAACATTTTAATAAACTATTTAATAGTATTTATTCGGATAAGAAATAATAGTTTCATTGGCCTAACATTTTGTAGCCTCCTTATTCCTAACTTCTAAGGCGATTCTAAATAAGTTATTTATGATCCATTAATTATGTAAACACGTGTGTCGTGTGCCATGTTCATTTAACCTAAGTTCTTTTTGTATTGCAAAAAAAGTGTTTTTATTTTTTCCATTCAAACGACGTCGTTAATACTCAACCTGAGGAAAGGAATATTTAAAGGAGAACCGCTGTCGTCTGGAAGACAGGAGCCACATTATATTTGTCCAACTGAGAATCGGAGGCTCCATCAAATGCCCGTAGCAATTGCCTCTGCCGCAGCGCCAAATTTTCGTTACTTCAAGACTCTGAACCTCAACACTCGATTCTCTTCCTCACTGTGCGCAATTGCTCGGGATAAGAAAGATATGGTCACAACAGTCAGTAGTAGTAGCGGAAATGCAGGCGCATACACCACGATCAAAGAGATTGTGAGATTCGAAAAAGAAATCAAGAAGAGCAAGTTCATCGCCATCGCTGGTCCTGTCACCAATGAGCAGACTGCCTTCTCTTTTCTCTCCCAGGTGTTCTATGCTAGATTCTCATGGAGGAGTTTCCGATTTCTATTCCTATTTAGCCTCGCTGCCTTTCTGTTTGTTTCCTGGAATAAATTCTCTTTTGTTCCCTTGGGATTCTATATGCCATTTTCTTTGAAGTTGTAAATTATATCGCACTTTACATTGTACATGATTCAATTGGCAAAGCTATCTATTTTGTAGTGAAATTCGTTATTGCAAATTGTATTATGACATTAGCGTCACTCTTTTAATCTCAAATATTGGAACATTGCCTCAAAATGCGTCCTTAAAAATCTTCTAGAATAGGATCGATATGTTTGTGTGAAATTCACTAATCTGGCAGGCATTTTTTGTGGTGAAACTCAGGTACGGGAACCGCGAGCTACTCACAATTGCTGGGCGTATCAGGTGCTTCTTTATCTCTTGCATGTTGTTGGATATGGTTAGATGTATTAGTTGTTACAGTTCTTGAAGAATATCTATTATGGGGTAGTTCACCATCCGTCACAGTGGTCTAATACTTTGCTCTTCACGTGGTCTGTTGAAGGTGTAATGTAACAGAGTTTATGCTAAATCACGTGATAAAATACTACATGAATAAATCTATCATCTCTTTTATATTTTTACAAAAATAACATTCCTTAAATATGATAAGAAAGATGCTACGGTTAGTTTCTGTTTTACATTTTTACACTGTTTATTTTGATAGACCTGAAAATTTTCTGCTGCGAATGTAATATCAATTAGTTTCTGACATTCCCTCGTATTTTAAAGCTCGCAAGTTTCTGATGGTCATATTATTACTTCAAAGTGCAATGCTCCAGTTTTTCAGAGAGTTTTTTTTTTTCAAGAGGATTCCCATAAAGAGATGTTGAGAGGGGAGTTAATATATTTACTTCCCTGATCTCAATTCCTTTATTTATAACTTCTCTTGACTCTATTCAGGTTGGAGATCAATTTAGGTCTAATGATGATGGCGAGCCATCTGGTACTGCTGGAAAACCAATTCATTCTGCCATTGTCTCTTCGGGTATTGACAGAGTCATGGTGGTCGTGATCAGGTATTCTCTTTGCAAATAATAGGAATTAGGTTGAAACATAGTTTTTGGGATCTATTTCTAAGCAATTTTCATGGGCAAAATACTAGCCAATCGTTGACTTGGAATCCTCTTATTAATGCTTTTGGTTGATATGAATGTGTATGCTTGCCATGTGCTATAGCTAACTTCGTATGATATCTTTTCCCTCTACCAAATTTTAGGTATTTTGGAGGTATCAAACTCGGGACTGGGGGACTAGTCAGGGCTTATGGGGGAGTAGCTTCCGAATGCCTGAAAAGTGCTCAAACATGTGTCGTGAAATCTAAGGTGTTTCTTCTTCCCTCAATAGTTGTCACCCTGTGATGCTAGTATTACTCAGAAGTTTATGGAGCAAATTAACTGTACTAAACTATTTTAAATTGATTTACACAGGAAATGTTATTTTTGATAAATTGGGTTCCATGTCTTTTAGGTTCCAATGGGCGTGGAGGTACCATTCAATCTTCTAGGGGCTTTGTACCACCAGGTAAATTTGCCCATGTGATCAAGAGTTATCTTGTATGCCTCTGTCACGGGTTTGAATTTTCGTCTCTAGTGCTTTTTCCCCTCAGATATTGGACGGTTATTGTTTGAACTATGGTCTCTGATTTTTCATTTGTTTCTGCTTGTTTTTTCTTCCTTCGGTATAGTTCTCATGTCATAGTCAATATTGCATTTACTTTGGACGGAAACATTTTTCTATAATTCTTACAATTACATATATACCATAGAGTGATGATCTTTCGGCTCCAGCAATAACAGAAAGGTTCTACTGTTCTGTCATGCACAGTATCCGTTTCTTCTGCCGCCTTTTTAAATGGATATTATTGTAGAGCTGAAATTTGTGTCGGTGTTTGCAGTTGCAATCTTTTCACGTTGAGGACATTAAGCAGGACTATGACTGTGGTAAAGATGGTATTACCATGGTGACATTCAAGGTTGATTTCGACCATGTTGAGAAGCTGGAGGATGCTATCAAATCTCATTGTAGCCGTGAATTAATCTTTTACAAGCAATAAATTATACAGCTGTTCTTTGTACATGAATGCAGAGAAGGGAGATACACATCAATATAAAGAAGAAATCAAGTATGCATCCAATCAATGGCGGGTGGCTTATGAGGGAATTGAATGATGACTTTGTACAACTATTTACATTGCACAATAATCTAGATATCCTTTGTAAAATACATTTCCCATTGAAATGAATATTTAGTTAGTTTACTGCCTGCTTCATCTCATGTTCCTTCATTAACCTATATGCAATACTACTGCTGTAGAAGCATCATATTTTTCAGAAGCACGCGCAGTCCTTATTTGATTGATGATAACAGCTTTCAAGGAACCTTTGCCAATTTGAAGGACTTGTTTCATTTGACTATGGTTTGATGGGAAGCAATAATTGAAATGGTGTTATGGTTGGAATTGGAGATATCGTTGTTGGAATCCATCTATATTTGGGACTGTTCGCAGTTCTGGGTTTAATGGTCATACAGAATTCCGCTGAGTCGGTGGATGCTAGTCTGACCAGATGTCGGTTGAAAGAAACAAAAATAATATACCTTTAAGGTTTAGTGTAATAGATGTAAGTAGGATTGATGACAGTTCGGTGTTGGCTGCGATGGAGGTGCGTTAGAAGACTTAGCTAGTTACTACCATCATTTTGCAATTATACCAGGCAGATGCAATCACTCCACAGCAGAAGTGGAAATGCCCATTCGTTTGCTCTGCAACTATCACAAGAAACGAAGGACCCCTTCTTCACTGATGCAGTTTTCCCTAGTACATTAATAACGACTACTGTACAAGGCCATGATAGAAGACCAACATAGCTAAGAAAAGAACACGCTTGGACACAATTCTTAAACCCATTCTATGTTTGAATAGAAGGACAAGGACCTGACGGGAACGAGCTAGCTAGGTTTAGAATTCAGATGGGAGTCTTGTGTTGAAGAAGATGAGATTTTGGTGGAAGTCATTGAATAGGATAAGGATAACCTGTAACATCAATTAATTTTTTCATTCGAAGTTTCTTTGCTATGAAATCCAAATTACCATCTCTGGAAACATTGAATTACCGAGGAACTACGAAGATAAGAAGAAAAAGGTCAGCAAGTACGTATACTTTCACCTATCATGTTCAGACGTATTGATTAGAGGGCTGGATGGTTCCAGAAAGGCCATCACAACTAATTACAAACGGGTAATTATGTTACTTGGAGAAAAATAAGAGATTTTTCAAGAAGTGGCCCTATTGAAATTGTAAGCTGTTGAGGCTCGGGAATGCCAAGAACTTCTGTGTTTTCTAGCAATCCATGAAGGCCTCCTCATAACAGCCTCCAAAACCCTCTTAAGCACGCCAGGTCCTTCTTTAGGCCCTTGCATCCACAGAGAAAACTTGTTCCTTCCACCCATAGTCACCATTTCAGCTCTCACCAGCTTCACTTTCACCGTTTTCAGTGCTTTTGCCAATTCTGCCATAATGTTCGGCCTGTCCTCGCAGCTCATTACAGCCTTCACCATCCCTTCACCACCATCACAGTGTTCTAAGCTCAATCTATCTGCCCCACCAGGTATCCCGCAATTCCCGACTTCACGATTAGTTGCTCTCTTTTCTGATACAAGCTTCTTAAACTCCTTCACCATACGGATTGTCTCAGAAAGCACAAAAGCCTTTTTGAGCTTACTCATATCCGTCTGTGTTCATAATCATTGCTTTCCAAGTATCAATACACAGAATGTTTTTACCTGTTGGCTTAAAATCAATTGAAGATAGATTTTTTAAAGGAAGTTTTTTTTTTTACTAACTTTGTATATGCTGGGAAGGATGGCACGGAGGGTGTCATATTGGCCGCTGATTCTGTTTCTTCTGCTCTGCTCTGCCAGGCGGTGCTTCTGGGCTGCATGTAATGTATTCTCCTTCCTTGGAAAGGATGAGATTGGGCTGTAATGCTTGATCATTAGAGGTTGTCCTTGTGGATACATCTGATGCATAGTTCCTGAAGTTGGGTAGCTCTGGATGGACTGCATGACCTGTCCAGACTATGAAATGATACATACAGATTGAAGAAGAAAAATAAAAGGTTCGCAAGTATCAGAAAGCAAAGAAATGTTGTTAACTGGTGTCTGTATAAGTTACCTGATGCAGTAAAACCATGGCACAACAAGGTCCTCCCTTATTGGAAGTGCAAAGAATAGCAATAACTGCTGTGAAGTCCGACTATTGATGTTTTTATTATATAGGAAAATTCTCCATTTTCAAAGAGTGGGATAGAAGGAATTAATTGCTTTATTTCTTTGCGATTAATTAATTGCTTTATTTCTTTGCGATTAAGGCAGATTATGTAATATCCGACCTCATAATTGCCATTTACTAAGCATTTTGATCCTGTAATTATAATGGTAAGATATGGAAACTTGGAGTGCTTTAACCAAATCACATATCAACCATCCGCATGACCAGAATTTAACAATTCATTACAAAAATCCTACTTTATAAATAAAATGACCCCCCACTCATATCTTTATTCCTGCACCCACAGTCCCAACAATTATCCTTATGTTGAAAATCATAACTTCCATGGAGTCGAGGATCTTGAGAAAGCATTATACGGTAGGTGTGTGGCTTGGAAGATGGTTCGGTCACTGCTGCTCCTTGGACAAGAGTTATTTTATTTTATTCTTCGGACTGCAAAATTGCAACCTAAAGGATGGCTGACATGAAGCACCGAAGTAACTTGTTTGTCATGTCGCCGGGTGTGAACTTTTTGGTATCAGTATTGAATATATGGCTAAGATCCAGCCAAATCAGTCCAATGATATATATCCTCTTCTTAAGACTACATATACCAGCTGGGCTAGCAGAAGCTTGCTTAGTTACACAAAATAATTATAATTTCGAAGCCAAATAGACGTGCAGATACTTACAGATGCTCTATTATGTAATGATTCCATGTTAATGCTGCTCAAGGATTCGAAAGAGAGCTGAAGAGCACCGTCACCGGATAGTGCAGGTTTGACATGGAAATACCCGAAGACGAAAAAGGAGAGTCCAATGCTCTGAACTGCAACAGCTGCCACGGTGAATAGCGTTAGCTCACTAAGGGTTAGAGAAGATGTAACTGAAAAAGATGAAACCCCACTTCGTCCCGTTCTCTCTGAAATCCCGAACCGAAGAGACTACGGTTAGCGAGAGAGAGAGAGAGAAAGTTGTAGAAGCCGTCCGAAATTTTAGAACAAGACACAAAATTAAAAAACCAAATAGTCTTAAAACTATTAAGAAAATTAAAATTGTTAATTTACAAGATCTGAAAAGATAAATCAAAATTATGTCTTGTAATCGACATTTTGACAATATTTCTAGAGAAGTGACATTGATTTGAACAACAATTACAGCCAATTCAACATGTGAAGTGTGAGGTAGATGTCTACAAATACAGATATTTTGCTTAGAGCAACAAAGACAACATAAATTACAATATAACAACTCTAAATACCGTGGACAACCTAAGGAGTTTCCTCAAAATAATGAGAACACACAGGCTAGGCAGCAGCATGTCAAAGTATACGGCTGCCGAAAGAATGGGAGGTACAAACTTCGTATTCATGGTCTTACATCTTTCAATACTCCCCCCTTTTCAAGCTCGCCAACAAGATCCTTTAACGATGGGACTTTCATGGCTAGAGTTCTGTAGAGCCGAGAGTACCGTGCTCGGGTTCCATCTGCAGTTCTTGCCAAAGCAAGTAAGCTCAGAGCCTCTGGGAGCTGGGAAAATACTTGTTTGATATCCTCCAAGCTCATGTTTTCTAAAACAGATGGTCTGGGAACAACTCTCACAATTTCACCACCTTTTGGTTCCTGAACATGGGCATCTGCCTTGATGACCAATTCCGAATTGGAGTTTGCGCCACACTTGATGATAAAAGGTGTTGTTGAGCCTGTATTGAACTGCAGAACGTTCCACTGTGCTACGTCAACTTCTGCACCAGAACTCGAGTCCACTGACAGTCTGCGGTTGTGTGATGTTGCGTGATAGATGTCATCTTCTTCTGGAGTTAACTGCAGTAAATAAGATTAGAAAAAATGTTTAGATATAAGTATGATAAGATCCAGACTCCAGCTAATGTACTATATTCAATCCAAGATTTGAAGGAGCCATGTGTCTTCCAACATCTGAGATAAAGTTCACTCTGTAATTGGTATTTTAGAAGTAAAAGAAAAGTGGTAAATTCGAGTTAAAGTTCTATTTCCAAAATGTTACGTGTTCAGAGTAGACATTGAATAAGAAGTACTGTTCCTATGAAATGTTCTGAAGTTGAGATCAAAAGAGCCGATGTTTAAAACAAAAACCAAATTTAAACTCACAAGAAATCCAACATAAAATGCTACAGAAAAAGGGAATTAACAAAATCCTTTGATGCAACGACAAAACCAAGTCATTCATAACCAACGTATAGTTTAAAAGAATTGGACAAGCTAGTTTTTTATTGAATTATTATTGTTTTTTTTATAATTACGACATCATAATGATGAGTGAAAAATCCCCCCAATTGTTTTGTAGGGATTCCCCCCCCCCCCCCCCCCCCCCCC